TTTTTGGTCTTTATTAGTCTATATAGCAGTCTGTTTTTCTTATTAATTTTTTTCAAAAAATCAACTCCTGGATTTGCCAGTCTTCTGTATGGCTTTTGTGTCTCAATTTCCTTCAGTTCAGCTCTGATTTTGGTAATTTCTTGTCTTCTGCTAGCTTTAGAGTTGGTTTTCACTTGCTTCTCTAGTTCTTGTAGTTGTGATGTTAAGTTGTTAATTTGAGATTTTTGTTTTGATGCAGTCATTTAGTGCTATAAAAGTTCCTCTTAACATTGAATTAGCTGTATCTCAGAGAGTCTGGTATGTTGTATCTTTTCTCATAAGTTTCAAAGGATTTCTTGATTTCTGCCTTAATTTCAGTGTTTACTCAAAAGCCATTCAGGAGCAGGTTGTTTAATTTCCATGTAATAGTATGGTAGTGTGTGATTTTCTTAGTATTAATTTCTATTTTTATTGTGCTGTGGTCTGAGGGCATGGTTGTTTATGATTTCATTTTTTAAAAATTTGCTGACTATTGTTTTATGTCCAATTGTATGGTCAGTTTGGAGTATGTGTCATATGATAATGAGAAGAATGGATATTCTGTTGTTTTGGGGTGGAGAGTTCTGTAGATGATTATTAAGTCCATTTGGTCAAGTTTTGAGTTTAGGTCCTGAATATCTTTGCTTTTCTGCATTGACAAACTGTCTAATACTGTCAGTGGGGTGTTGAAGTCTCCCACTATTATAGTATGGGAATCTAAGTCTCTTTGTAGGTCTCTAAGAACTTATTTTATGTATTTGAGTGCACCTGTGTTGGATGTGTATACATTTAGGATAGTTAGGTCTTCTTGGTGAATTGAACCATTTACCATTGTATAATGTGTTTTTTTTTTTTAATCTTGTTGTTTTGAAGTCTGTTTGGTATGAAATTAGGATTGCAACCCCTGATATTTTCTGTTTTTCATGTGCTTGGTAGACTTTTTCCATTTTTTTATTTTGAGCTTATGAGTATCATTGTATAATATGTGCAATGGGCGTCTTGAAGACAGCATACTAGTGGATCTTGCTTCTTTATGCAGCTTGCTACTCTGTAGCTTTTAATCGGGGCATTTAGCAACTTTACATTCAAGATTAGATTGATATGTATTGATTTGATCCTGTCATCATGTTCTTAGCTGGTTATTATGCAGACTTGTTTGTGTGCTTGCTTTATAGTGTCACTGGTCTGCATTTGTAAGTGTGTTTTTGTAGTGACTGGTAACTATCTTTCCTTTCCATATTTAGTGTATCTTTCAGGACCTCTTGTAAGGCATGTCTGGTGGTAAAAGAAAAAAAAAATCCCTCAGCATTTGCTTATCTGAAAAGGATCTTATTTATCCTTCACTTATGCAACTTAGTTTACCTGGATGTGAAATTCTTGGTTGGAAATATTTTTTCCATCAGCATTTGCTTATCTGAAAAGGATCTTATTTATCCTTCACTTATGCAACTTAGTTTACCTGGATGTGAAATTCTTGGTTGGAAATATTTTTTCTTTCTTTTTTTTTTAAATTGCATTTTAGGTTTTGGGGTACATGTAAAGAACATGTAAGATTGTTGCATAGGTACACGCATAGCAGTGTGGTTTGCTGCCTTCCTACCCATCACCTATATCTGGCATTTCTCCCCATGTTATCCCTCCCCAACTCCCCAGGAAATATTTTTTCTTTAAGAATGCTGAAGATAGGCTTCCAATCTCTTCTGGCTTGTAGAGTTTCTTCTGAAAGGTTCACTGTTAGCCTGATGGACTGCCCTTTGTAGGTGACCTACTCTTCTCTTTAGCTGCCTTTAACATTTTTTTTTCTTTTGTTTCAACCTGGTTATCTTTGTTTTTCTTCTACCTTCCTAATGCTATGTTATCAATCTTCCTGGA